CTTAACTAATTTCTTATTCCGTTTGTCGGATGTGGTAGTCATTTCTGATAGGACATAATAATCGATTTGTTCTTAAAAATGTTCAGTAATTGATAAACGTTAATTGAAGAAAAATCAATTAGTAAGTCTTCAAATTCTGACTAATTCTTTATCGGGTTTTATTAGACTTCAGTAAATTAAGATGTTTTCTTATATTTCGACCTCAACAGTTTAATTTATGATTTTTCCTTCTCGAAGGTGGGATAATAGGACATCTCAAAAAAACTGGTTGTTGTTTGGAGAAGGAAAAATCATAAGTAAATTAAGACTTATATCATCATTACATCTGGAATTTAAAATTGGTATATTTATAGTGATATTACGTTACACGTTAAATATAAATTAAGCAGGCTAATAACAAAACGTAATTTAAGGATTATCTATGATCTCGAATGGTAAAATCGAATTTATTAACATCTTTTGGTTGCCTTTGTTGACTTTGACTTAAAATCAAATTAGAACTAGCAGATAATTCACTGGGCTCTTTATTTTCGTAGTTTTCTAAATAAATCTGGCTGGAGAGACAAGGGATCAGTAGAGGGTGTATTTCGGAAAAATAGTTTCAGAAATAAGGAGCGTGTCAAACTTTTCTTGGAAAATTTATGTTCTAATAAAAAAAGAGAAACACAATTCAGATAGCGACATAAGTGACACATAAATCAAATTTTCATTATTACTTAAAAAAAATAATTTTTAAAATTGGTATTTAATTTTGTATAAAAATCTAAAATATAAAATATGGATTAATCATGGCCTGCGTGGAGGAATGGAGCAGAAAATTGACATTTTCCCTTAAATGCTATATATGCTTGATAAAAAACTTCATCTATGATGCATTCTGCAGTTGTGACTAAATCAACTGGACCCCATGAAATATACCAAAACTTATTAACTTACCTTTCTTGCTGAATACTTCCATACTAACTTATATTTTGACAACACTATTGTCGCGTTTGAAAGATTTTCTCCTTTCTTATCAAACGGACAACTTTCATGTTTTTGTCTGTTACGTTACCCTTTCTATTTCAATATTTATGTTTATTGTCCGTGTGAAAAGTAGCCATAACGACAATGAGCCTTTTAATATTTTAAACGAGAGCAGATGGCTTCTATTGTTCTCGCGGGATGGAACCCTCAAATGGAATGACTTTCGCTCTAATGACGTGATAATCTGGCCTTTATGATAAATTAGATTGAAATTTAGAGCAATTGAAGTGGGAAAAACTAAACTATTTTAATACTAACCACTCCTTAATATGAAAAAAACTATGAACCAAATTTGATCTACGGTTGAAAACTCTGAATTTCACGATTTAAAATATTTAAAAAATAATAAGATCGCTGTTGAGTTGTCTTAAAAATATATTACTTTATTTATATTATGATTCAATTATTTGGGTGCTAATCCATCCATACACGTGAGATATAGAGCACCTGTTCCAATTTTTAACCACATTTTTGAATTCTGCATTAAATTTTCTATAATGAGGAGATATTTCTAATGTTATCAAACGCCGATGTATGTTTATTCAACCCAAAACTAAGAATTTAGAAAAGAATAAACTTTTTATAAATTTCAAAAAATAATTGTTTGTCAACAAACATTTTTGTAGGGGTGCGAAACATTATAGAAACGTCTTCATTTAATAAGCTTTCAGACGGTGTGCTCCAACTTCCAAAATGTTGAAAAAACGTTGTTCAAATGTGTAAATTTAACGCCGTAGTTTGTTAATTGTAATAAAAATCCTATGCCTTGTTTTTAAATAGATTATTACTAACAATAATGTCACGTGAAAAACATAACATACAATAACATAAAATAATTAATAATTTATTTCTTTTATGCAAATGAAAATTTGAAATGAATTAAATTTGAATATGAAAAGGTTTTTTTATGCTAAGCCCTTCTAATCAAAATCCTTTCTGTTTAAAAAATAGCGTATCTCACATGTGGATTAGCACCCAAATAATTGAACCACAATGTAAATAAAGCAATATATTTTTAAGAATGAACTCAACAGTGATCTTATAATTGTGAAATTCAGAGTTTTCAACATTAGATCAAATTTGGTTCATGGTTTTTTTCATATTAAGGAATGGTTAGTATTAGGTTATTTTAGTTTTTTCCACGTCAATTGCTCTAAATTTCAATCTAATTTTTCATAAAAGCCAGACTATCACGTCATTAGAGCGAAAATCATTTAATTATCTGTGACCTAATACCTAATTATCGCACATACACCCTGTATAAATCCAACTGCGGTCATTTGAACCTCTTTTATTTTTCCTCGCCTCTCTAGTTTTAGTTTATGGCAAACCCTACTTTTTCAATATTATTTGAGTCAATCATCAGCCGCTAGAACAACTCATCGTTTAAAAAAATTTACGGGTAAATATTTAGCTTGGGAATTAAATCAGTTCTTCTTTTATTAATGCCAATTGTGAAAACTTTATTCTATCTATTAATTTCTAAACGGACTTTCTTTGACCGAGCAAATTTAAAAATAGTATAAAAATTCAATGATTTGTTCGTGTTAATTAAATAATAAGAGTGTTATATATGTCAATTCGTCTATCGTTTTTCATATTAGGCCCTGAAGGTGTTTACAAATTATAGGAAGCTTGGCATGAAGTTGGGAGTTTCTGTTTCTGTGACCTAATACCCGATTATCACACATACACCCTGAATCCAACTATAGTCATTTGAACCTTTTTTATTTTTCCTGACCTCTCTAGCTTTATAATAATTGTATATAATAAATAATAATAATTATTATTATTTAATTTTGAAGGCCGTTTTAACGGCTAAGGTCATTTCATGCCCTAATATCCAAACCTTCTATCTAGGGGTTAGCTATATCTCTTCTGACTGCTATAAAGCTCTGACTCCAAACATTCACTCACTATCCTATTGCCATCCAAAGGTTTAATTTATCCTTTTAAAATTCTTAGGCCAAATATGCAAAAATCCCATTTTAAATTACAAAATTTATTCCTGTTCTTTAATCAGAATTTTTGTTCCAAAATTTAAACATTTCCCATAGGCTTGTATGGCTAATAATAATAATAATAATAATGGAGTCAGACTAGTAATAGTCTCAGCATGAGTATAGGCTCATCCTTATCCTTTTATTCTTCCATTCAAATATGATAAATAAACTAATTCTACATAACAATAATAAGAAATGATAACACTTCTTTCCTGGCTGTAAAACTTGAAAGAAGCAAGAAGTTTTGAGATACATTGATACAATAAGTGGTGTGTTGTGGTAGCTAGGACGTTCCTTCGTCAGACTAGTGTTTTTTGAAATGCTTTTGGTGAGGTGAGTTGAATTGGTTAAGTATTTTGACGATTAGACAAGTCTGCTGGGTGTTAGTTTGTAGCTCGGATTCCCTATTGAGAAGTGTGGGGAGCTTTTGAAGGGAGCGATATTTATTTTCTAATTACAATAATTTTGTAATTATTGATCTCTATGGTTTTCTAATAATTGTAGTTATATATAATAAAAATTTATAATTATAATAATTTTATTCCTGATCATCACACGAACACCCTGTATAAATCCAACTATGATCATTTGAACCTCTTTTATTTTTCCGGACCTCTATGGTTTTCTAATAATTCTAATTATATATAATAAAAATTTATAATTATAATAATTTTAATACATGATCATCACACGTAAACCCTNTCAATCTTCCTCCGAATTCTGCCTACCCTGGAATCCACTCTGAATTTAAACTTTTCGAACTGGCACTAAGAAGGGATTACTTTGATATTGTTTTTGTATTTAAATTATTAAACAATCTCATTGATAGTCCTTATCTCCTCTCTCAACTACAGCTCCATGTCCCTTCGTACTCTCTTAAAACCTATAAATTATTTTATATTGAATTCAAAAGCTCTAACTTCATGCTCTCTTCTCCTCTACACAGAATGATGATCAAGAGTAACAACATCTGCAATATTGACTTCTTCAATAGTTCTGTGCAATCTGTGAAAAACCTTATCCTACAACCTTAGTTGAATGCTTTTATATTTCATACTGTACAAAATTATTACAATTTATTTCATTTACTGGTTCAATTAATTCTCGCACTCTAGTCTTATTATATATTTACAAAGAGCATTATGTTCATTAAATATGTACCTAATTATTGTAGTTTCAATTGTCTTTCAGCTTTATTTGGTTTTCTCTGCCTTATTTGGTTCGTAATTATGTCTTTCATTTTTTTGTTCAGTTTTTACTCTTTAATTGTATTTTTATATTTATCATTTATATTTACCATCTATATTATTACCATGTATTTGTATTTTTACATATATTGTTTATACTTTTTGTTATTGTAAAATGTCTTTTTTATAGTGGATTTCGATCCGTAAATAAATAAATAAAAAAATAAAAAAATAAAAAATACCTGATCATCACACGTAAACCTCTATAAATCTAACTATGATCATTTGAACCTCTTTAATTTTCCGGACCTCTCTAATTTTATGACAAACCCTTGTTTTTCAATATTATTTGAATCAGTCATTGACCGCTAACAAAGCTTACCGTTTAAAAAAAATTTACAGGTAAATATTTAGTTTGTAAATTAAAACTTCTTTTTTTTTATTAATACTTAATTTCTAAACGGACTTTCTTTGATAGAGTAAATAAAAATTGTATAAAAATCCAATAATTTGTTTGTGTTAGTTAAATAGTAAGAGTGTTTGAGTGGTTGTGGAGGGGGGGTAAAGAGTCCAAATAAGAATGGCAATTAGAGTGTAAAAGGGGTTGCGGTAACTGGTAGGTGATTAGAATTGTTAATAGGCTGATAAGATTAGCCATAAAAGTGGTTGGTTGCTCCGGGTATTAGAGAGTTGTCGTCACCTGTTTAGGCGAGGCGGGCCGGGGGAGAGGCGTGGCCGTGCCGGGATTCGGCGTTGGGCGTGACTCGGGCCGTCGCCGCCCATCGCAGGGGGAATTCGGATGAGAATTCAGTGGAAATGTGACGGCCGAGATGCTAAGAGAGGAGGAGAGGTTATCCCCGGCCGAGGGAGCTTTTTCCAGCCGTTCGCCTTCCGAAAGCGACTCCGAGGAGGCCCTGGACGTCGGATCCCCCGTCGACCTCACCAGCCGGGGTCTCTTAGCCAGGCTCAGCCCGCCTCTCGGAGGATCCCAGCCCTTTCCGAGAAGTTTGCCCTTTTCCGTCGACAACATCCTAGACCCGAACAAGTTCACGGGGAAGTCGCAGGACGGACCCAAATTTCAGAACCATTGGAGGCCCCACGAGTTAAGCGACCATTCCAGTAAGTATACACATTATTTCTCTCAGTAACTTATTATAAACCCTCTTATTTAAGCCTTGATCGTATCACTTAATCCTAATCTTCTCAACTACATATTTTTTCTAAAGTTTTTACAAGCATATCTGCCCTAGATATCACTGCCAATACATCAAATCAGTCACTGCGCGATCGATTCGTTATTCCAAATGTCTGTTTCTTAGTGACCTGTTGTTTCATTAATTGATGAGTCGTGAGGAGCGGTCAAGTATGATGTAGTTTAGAAAAACACCACTTTCATTTTTTTGCCGATGTTTCGACCTTTATTCGGGTCATCTTCAGGGCATAAAGTGTGGTGCTAGTCTTGTGTGTTTTGTGAACCTCATTCACTCATTCACCCAACTCTTGACCGCTCCTCACAACTTCAACCAAGTTATCAGAATTTTTAATTGACCGATTCCTGAGTATGACAAAAAAAATTTGAAGCACTAAGAATAAGTCAACAATTATTTTACTACTAACATTTACTTTAGGCTTTGAAATATCAATTCCTAAACACAAAAATGGATTAAATTATGCATATAGTAACTATATGCAATTTTATTTCACTAATCTAAAACAGTTCTAAACTTCTTCAAATCTACATTGAATCCAGAGTACTTACAAATTATTTTTTCAAAAACGCCGGCAGCCCAGGGTTGGTATTACTCTGCTGTGACAAAGCCCCGAATAAAAGTAAATTTTTTATATATTAGGTGTTAATATAATCACATGCAATGTTAAATTATTGTTTTATTTATCATTCCGCTATTTTCACTTACGTAGGCATTATTTTGGCTTAGAGAGATTGACTTTTTCGATGCTGTTGTATTTCAAACCATCAGATACTTAATGGGACAATTCAACCCAGAGAAGTTTTAAAAAAACACCGGCTCCCAGGGGGTTGGTATTACCCCTGCCGTTGCAATTCGCCATAAAAAATTAAATTAAAATAATTTTTTGTATGTATTACGTGGAATGCATTAACAATATTATTTTTGTTTGTAAATTATTTCATCATTTAAGAAATCGTTCTGATATTCCTTTTGCTGTCAACTAACAAATATGGACTTTTTTATAAGAATTTCTCCCCATTTTTTACAAGCAATTCTGCCCTAGATAACACTGCCAAGGCAAAATAATTTTTTTATATATTACGTGAAATGCATTAACAATATTATTTTTGTTAGTAAATTATTTCACAATTTAAGAAATCGTTCTGATTTTCTTTTTACTGTCAACTAACAAAAATTGACTTTTTTTATAAGATTTCTCCCCTTAAAAGAGAACTGTGACAAAAAAATTTAAATTTGAATATTACAACGTATTTTTCTTATGTTTTTACAAGCAAATCTGCCCTAGATAAGACTGCCAAGACACCAGATCAATCACTGCGCGGTCCTGGGGTTTCGTTGTTCGAATTGTCTATTATCAAAATATTTAATTGACCAATTCCTCTGTATAAAAAAAACTTGAAGCACTAACAAGAAGTCAGCAATTATTGTACTACTAACATTTACTTTATTCTTTGAAATCTCAATTCCTAAGCACAAAAGTGGATTAAATTACAAATTACCGTATGCAATTTTATTTCACTAATCTAAAACAGTTCTAACCTACTCAAAATCTACATTGAACCCAGTGTTCTTACAAATTATTTTTTCAAAAACGCCAGCACCCCGGGGTTGGGATTATTCCGCTGTGACAAAGCCCAGTAAAAAATTAAATAAAAATAAAATATACATTTTTGTATATATTAGGTGGTGATATAATCAACATGCAATGCTCAATTACTGTTTTATTTATCATGCCGTTATCTTCAGTTATGTAGGCATTACTCTGGCTTACAGAGGCTGATTATTTCAATGTTCCTGGATTTGAAACCACCAGATCCTTGATTCAGACCAGGGTAGTTTTAAAAAACACCGGCTCCCGAGGGGTTGTTATTACCTCTGCTGTTGCAAATCCCAATAAAAAATAAATTATTCCTTTTTTACGTATTACGTGGAATGAATTAACAATATTATTTTTGCCAGTACATTATTTCACCGTTCATGAAATCGTTCTGATTTCTTGTCTACTGTCAACTAGCAAAAGTTGACGATTTTATAAGAATTTCTCCCCTTAAAAGAGTACTAAGTCAAAAAAATCTAAATTATATTATTGGAATTGTGTACTATTTTATGCTACTTTCATTTAACTTTATAGAAAGTTCATGTATATAAATTGTTACGTAATTATATATTTTTTACTTTGAGACTGGGTATTACGCGTATAAATAAAAGTCTATTAGTGTTGAACATTTCGACATAAAAAAATTAATAGAATACATTTTTCAATATAGTGTCTAGTTTGATGGCACTTATTAATCGTGTACTAATCAATTAAACAAATGATTTATAAAATAAACACACCCTTAAATTCTCGGGGAGTTGATCCAAAGAATTAATATGAATTTCATTGTTATTTTTCCATTAAAATGTTGCTTCCGGTCTATTTAATTTCTGAAAAGAGAAAGAAGAGCAAATTGATTTATAACTCTTGAGCAGATCTCATACCTTCAGTTTTGTTAAATAAGATATTCTCCCATGCTTTTTATTGCTCAATTTCTTTTTAAGCCAAGTAGTTGTTTTGAAATTGTATCGGTGATTCTGGTTTTTAAATTTTTTTTGTATTCAAAAATCTAGGATCAGGCCTATTGAAAGAAAAGTGAAACAACCCGTTCTTTCGTTAAGCGTTCGAGGAATTTCATCAGGACTTAAAAACGGAAACTTTAACTTAACAAACATGAACTTACAATACTGGAACTTATAGGTTGAAACATATTGAATTTACTAATTGATATTAGAACGGAATCTTCCAGTCCATTCCAGCATAACGAAGTAACTGAAAGTTTTTCTTGTATATCTTGGCCTTATCTCAGTTTTTTAATACAATATTTTAATATTGAAGGCAGATGTCTATTTAATATTAGTTCGAATATAATTTTATTCACTAACTTCGTGGTCCGCTTGACCAATTAATATATTGCAATTAATTAAGGTTTTTTGTTGAGATAAAAAAGTCAATAGCACGAGCGGGATTCGAACCCACTATCTTCGGCTTGATACTCCGCTGCTCCACCACTTGAACTATCGTGACCTCGATCCACTCGGACACCAACTTCCCATCTCAACCACACCTTTCGAATTTTCCCTCCTTTTTGTCATTTTTCAAATGTCGTGTAATCAATTTGATTCTCGGCGACAAGTGAAATGGCCACGGAGAGCTTTAGTGAAAAGACCAGCTTAATATTCTATTTAAGTTCACTAGTTTCGTGGTCCGCTTGACCAGTTAATATCTTACAATTAATTGGTCAAGTGGACCACGAAACTAGCGAGTTTAATAAGTTTAAAATGAAGGATACTTCACTAAAGCTCTCCGTGGCCATTTCATTTGTCGCCGAGGATCAAATAGATTACACGATATTTGAAAAATGGCAAAAAGGAGGGAAAATTCAAAAGATGAGGTTGAGATGGGAAGTTGGTGTTCGTGTGGATCGAGGTCACGATAGCTCAAGTGGTAGAGCAGCGGCGTATCTAGCCGAAGATCGTGGGTTCGAATCCCGCTCGTATCATTGACTTTTTTATCTCAACAAAAAAAACCTTAATTAATTTTAATATTTCATATTTAATTATATATCATGTTATTTATATTAGAAAATCGATGATCAAGTATATATTTACGTCTTACGTTTTACTTTACTTTTTAATTTCGAATAATTAAAATTTGTCGTCGTTATAATTAAATTGTTTATATAAACTCCAATTTTTTATAAAATATAACTATTTTTTATTAAACATTGTATTTTATTACTTTTGATTTACAAAATCCGGTCGTATTTGTGATTTTTGTTTCATTGAAAATATAATTTAGACATGCTGCTATAGAATTTTTTGTAAGTAATTTTTCATCTAAGGAAAATTAATGTTTTTTCTTAGTGTATTGAAATCCTTGATCGGTACTCCTTCTCGTACTTTACAAAGTTTTGGACATAAACCAATTTTTACACTATAATTAAATTTCTCAGTTAACCGTTGAAACTATTTCAACTTCTAGAATTTTATTTTCAAGCACAGAATTTTACAAGTTTTAGTTAGTTAAATAACATATACAAATTATTTCCAATTAGTAATAATCCTTCTAATATATGAACACCTAATTTCATTAGACATTAACGGCATTTTATTATCCTGTGGGGTTTCTATTATTTTATTACATTTTTTGTCTTAACACTTTTTGTAAATGATAGAAAATATTTACAGCCCTTTTTGATGGCCAGACTTGCTCTTGAACAGAAAACGTAATTTTCTAGTTAAAAATGATTTGATTTTGAAAAAATTAAAAAATATACACGGTTCTTGAGGACCAATTCAACTTTAAAAAAATTTAAACGTGACCCTGTACCTTATAAAAGGTTTTTTATTATCAATGCAATGCCGCAATTAAATTCTTAAAAAATAACGGAATTATAGCGCAAATGTGTGTTATTTAGCGACCGGTTGTTCAATTAATCTGACCGCTCCTCACTACTTCAACAAATTATGGCACAAATTTTCCAAATTGGATTTACATATTTTGCACTCCATTATAATTTTTTCTGAAAAACCGGAGAAATTTTTAACTAGGCTGAAATATATTAAATACGTATTTTTTGGCTAACGTTATCTGGTTAAGAGAACTTCATCCGTTCCATCTCAAAAGGACATTTTGCAGTTGGAAAATAATTTTTTTTATAACAAACTTTCGCTGAACAAAAATATAATTTATAGTGAATTTATAACTTTCTTCTTATTTAATAAAAATAAAAGCATAAAAGTTGATAGACTAGTGCTAACCCGTTTTGGCAGTGGTGTACCATTAGTTATTATTAATTGTTGGATGACGTTTCAACCCTTGCATCAAAGGACTATAAATGTTAACACTTTTCATCGGTAAACCTTTTA